TAAATTACAATAATATGTGCTAAAAAATGTATGAGCATGTTTGGATATGAATTTTTTTTGTTTTGTTGGATTTTTTGGTTTGGTTTGGTTGATTTCGAAAAATGTAGTATGGTTAATTGTTAGTATGTATATTAAAATAATATTTAAAATATTTGATGTGATTGTTAGTTAAAATAATGTGAGTGGATGAATAGTGAATTAAGGTTGATGTGATGTGTATAATAGATTGATTGATATTATTTTATTATATTGATAATATTGATGACAATGAGGTTGAGTTAAAGTTGAGTTAAAAAAAGTAGTCGAGTTAAAATATTGAAATATTTTGTGAGAATTCTTGTATGCAAACATGCTCTATATGTCAATATGTGCATGTTTGGGCATAGGAACGCATCCCTCGTATTCGCCCAATCATGAAGAGAACACATTTCGGCTCTCAGGTTGGTTGTCCTTTGAGTGCAAGGTAATAATAACATTTATTTATATTTAACACTTAAGTTATTTCAATTATCAAATTTTGTAATTACAAATAGTTTTTTTCTGTGATTTTTAAGGTGGGTGGGATCGAGGGACTTGAGGCACGTAGGGACGGGCACGGCTACCGTCCGAGATTAGCTGAGTGGCCTGAGAGAGATTGATGTAAGTTTCTTAGGTCATAATAATAATTATAATTTTTTTTTAATTCTATTTTTTTGTTAACTTCATTAATAATTTTATAAATGTTTTTTTTTACAGTTCGATTGGTACTCTATCAGAAGTACATACACGATGGTCGGCTTCCAGACCAGTGTTCACGAGACAGACATCTCTGGATGTACAAGGGGTGGATCGTCTGCTGGAACATCCGAGAACTCCACCAGCCTGATAGGGTGCTCCGCCAGTTTGGGTGTCACCAGCCCATCCCCAGACGCCGATCATTACGGGTCTGGCCGACTTGGACACCCACCACAAAGGCCAGGGCATGACTGGGAGGGCATATACCGATTGGCAGGCCTTCCATTATGATCTTGGGAGGATCTGGACCGACGAGAGAGATCAGAATGTCCTCACAGATGTATCGGTGGATCCCTTCCTGCAGCCGGCAGAGGGGTACGTTGGTATCACAGTAGGACTGTGAGACTATTCAGTGACCCTAAGAACTACGCGGCGATCTCACAGGACGGCGGGTTTCAGCCATATGCCGACCGGGATAAGTGTCAGGTAAGTGTCTGGTAATTTGGGATTATTATTATTATTATTATTATTATTATTATTATTATTATTTTGAAGTTATTATTATTATTATTATTTTTAGTTGTTCATAATAGTTATTTGAATTTTATTTTCAGAATTCGGGTACGGAGGGGTCATATAACACGCTATCGAACGTTCAAGACATGTTCGATACGCCACCTCCCCAAATGCATGAAGTGTTCCAGCAGACCCAGGAACTTTTGTACGCTTCTCTGACTGTTGGGGGCCAGTCGGTCACACAAGGGGCGTCGTCGGGGCAAATTCTATCTCAAGAAGAGTACGCCCCACTCCAGCAGACACAGCCCAGCGGGCAAGGCATAGACCGACGGCCCACATTGGTGGAGGGGGTGGAGGTAGAAGACGCTGTGACCGCGTCCGCCGCTGCATTCCCCGAGAATGAAGAAGACGAATAAGGTGAGATTTTTTATACTTAACTACAAATATATTTTTTTGTTTATTTTTATTTATTTGTCCAGTCGAATTACAGATTTTTTACAGAAATTAATTAATTAGGTGAAGAAGAACAAGAAGCAGCCACGCCTGGACCGATCGTAGCATCGTCTTTTTCAGTACCACGGCCTCGGAAAGGATCCCGAATACGCAAGCCTAGGAATGCATATACTCCTAGTTAGTTTGTGTTGTATTATGTGATTTTGTGGACATTTTCTTTTTTGTTTCTTTTTTTTTGTACTGGATTTTGAGATAATTATTCTTGATGGTTTTGTGTACATATTTTTTGGTTCACTTTTTTTTTATCGGTAATTGTGGTTGACTTTTTGTATATAGTGTTTCGTATATACATGCATGCTAGATTATTATTTGACGAATGAATTGATATTAAAGTGATATTATTTCGTGTTTAAAATGTTAAATCAAAATTTATAAAATCCTTCATATTGAAGGATAAAAATAAAAATCCAGCCAAAATAAACGCGATCGCTGGTAAACGAGTTCGTGAGCATCCAAGAGTCGAGCCCTAAATTAAAAAAAAAATGAAAATAAAAAAAATAAAAATAAACAAATAAACACGGATTCTAAGAATTCGTGTTATAATGTAAACCAGATTTTGAAAATTCGTGTTACGTACCACGAATATTCATAAAACGTGTTTTGGTTGAATTAATTAGGGTTAATCACGTTATTAAGAAAAGACGGATTCTGAAAATCCGTCTTATGCTCGGAAAAACAGATTCTCAGAATCCGCCTGTTTTATTTTTTTCCAGACAAATTTTTGCTGATTTATGTTTGTCCACTTATTTTTTTTTAATTAAATAAATGATTCGCATGGCTTCAAGAGATGTTCAGTGAAGATGGTGTTGGTTGTCAGGTCCTTTGGTTCAGTTTTAGCTTTTCCTTTGTAGTTTATTTGTTCTCTTGTTGTCTGTATGTTGTAGCTTGGTCCTCTGGTGAGTGTCGTGGGTTGTATTATTGTTGCTATAAGGTCCAAGGAGTCCTCCTTGTAGCTTGATTTGTTCTTGTGGTTCTTTTTTGAGTTTGTGGGTGTGGAGTTTAGGCCATCTTGTGGAAATACTTTGTGTATTTCCTTGAATTATTAGGCTATTCAGTCTCTCGGGTTGTATCTTGTTGATATGTTGAATGAATCTCTATCGTTTTGGAAAAAAACCATCTAAATGGCAATGAACACTATTTAAATCAATGCAACTATTCATTTGATTTGTGTTAATGATGGGACTTATAGTGTTCATTTGATCTATTGAACGGAATATGAGAAAGGAAAAATTACCATACACACTTCTATTTATACTTAAATGTGTTAATGGTTGTGGTAGGGTGTTAATAAAGCATTTGATGCTTAAATGGAAAACAACGAATCCAAATGTTGCGCATATTGTTTTCTGACCCGATTTGGATCGTAAACCACATATCCAAATTGCTTCGACGTCTCCGATCACCTGAAAAATGCAAGGAGGGGTCCCAGCGCAAACACTTCAACGTTCAAGTCAGTTCACGTTCAACAATGGTGTAAGGACAGAAAAAAGAATGTATTTACGCGTGTATATGTACTGTGTAAAGTAAGAATATGTGTCCCCTTTTATAATCAAAGTTGCGTGTTAACTGAGAGACTCCTGATAAGGTAAGAAGTCTTTACATATCCATTCTCCTAACAAACCAGATCTCATGGAATCTTTAGAGTCCTTAATAATATACACTCCCTTGTTTAAGGGATTCAGTTCACTTTCCCTGAATGACTCAAACCCAATGTCGTCCCTTCACCCTTGAGCTAAAGGCTCTCACGAATCCTCCTCGACGAGCTTCCTGAGAAATGCGTCATATCATCTCCAGTCGAGCATACGATCCTTCAGCCCTCCGCTGACCAATCTTAGGATTAATCTAAACGCGCCCGAGATGAGCTTTCGAAGACCACGATTAAGTCAACCCAGTGCCGAGTTGTCCTGAGTAGCCCAGACCCATTCTCAACTTTATTAGACGACCTCGGGTACCCTCATCGGATGGATGCCCTGACAATACTAGCCTATGTTCGATTAAATTACTACGATATGTGTTTGAGTTAACTCTCAACTTATATTATTTTGAAGCGATAGTTGTATTTTTTATCCTTCCCCTTTGTTGAGAAATCTGAGGACAGACCCTACGGATTGACGTGTTCATCAGTTAATTAAATGAAAACTAGTAAGGGATATCTCCACCAAGTTTTCATGTGACATTCAAAGTTTTATATACGTACGCGTAAATAGGCTATTTGGTACCAGTCTTCAAAGACTGTATATATCCAAGATAATATAAAAAATCAAGTCCAATATGTTTCATTCAAACTTTTACCATATATAATCCAACCTCAGTGCGAACGCCATGCCTACCCTTTTGTTTTATATATAATTAATAGCGTGCTAGTAGTGTACTACACGGACGGGTACTTGTAAAAAAATTATTTTTAAAAATTAGATTTAATAACAGCAATAATTGTTTAAAATTAAATATATGCATTTATTAGACTAATTGAGGTTTTCATGGAAACTAATTAGTCGATTAAAAGCTTCTAAAACAAATCAATGTTATATTAGTCAATCAATACCATTATCAAAAGGTTCCAGCACAACTTAAAGGTTATATTAGTCAAACTATTATGAAATTATCAAGTTAGTTTTTTGCTATTTTTGGAATGTCCGAACATAAAATTATTGATTTAGAATAATATTATTTTTTATCAAATCAAACTACGAAGCATGTTTTTTTTGCCAAGTAGGGTTCCAAAACATGCGAGACTGTCATTTAGGCTTAACGCATTATGCAATTATATGTTATATGTAGGGTGGATTACTTGTCAACAACCATGTATTGCACAATTTAATTTTAAATTCTATTTTTAAAAAGCAAAAATCAGAAGTTTTAATTTAAAATTTTTTAGATACTTATTATTATTATTATTATTATTATTATTATTATTATTATTTAAAATGATACCGACCACCTATGGACTTGATAAATATATTTATTACCTTAATGAATAATTATTTTTTTTATTTTTCAATCATAATAAATTAAATTATTTAATTTTTTATATTTAAAGGTAGATAAATTCTTTAACATATACAACATGAATATCAAATCGAAAATCGTAACAACATAATTAATTTAATGAATGAAAATTGTCCTCTTTTTTTTTTTTTTTTTTTTTNNNTTTTGGTACTGAAAGAGGAGAAAAGCTCAAGCCGCTATCCGACGAGGGTAGGCCACTCCCAACACGTCATGCTCAAGCCATGGTTTCAATCCCGCCGGCGGGAACTCTAGCCGTTGCATCCCCCTGGTCCCGTCGCCGCAAGCGACGCCAAATAGTCGGCCGAGAAGTTTGATTCGCGGTAAACATGTTGTAGGACCACATTCCAATCACGATTCATCACCTAACGGATAGCCAGGTAAGTCTAACACTATCGCTTAGACTTTTTAGACATATATGAGACGATAAATAAAGGTTCAACTTATTATGGAGATGAGATTTTGACCGCCAAAGCTACAACAAAGAAAAATTCGCCATAAATTTTAAACAATATCAAATAGGAAGTCAATAACGTATTTATAACAAAATTTTAAATTGTAATGATTATTAGGGGTATAGTAACACAAATTTATGAGAGATGCTCAAGTCCCGTTATACATAACAATTCTGTCGGGATTTATAACCGTTAGATCAACTATTCTTGACGGTTACATGATGATGTAACGGTTACAAATCTCGACGGAATTATTTCGTAACAGAACCGTAGCATTTCTCCAAATTTGATTAATAAAAAGAGATTATTACACCAACTAATAGTGAATATTATTAAGTTCAATATATCACACCTTGAATTAATTTTATATATACCAATAAATTTTAAGTTATCGATTGATGTTCATGATGACCGTTAATTCCCTAAGAATTTAGACATAAGTCAATTTGTGCTAGTTCTTAAAATTACAAGAACTGATTGAGATTTTTTTTCAATTAATGAATGAATAAACATTTTATTGAGGAAAATAAAAAACTGAATAATTAAGGATGTGCAATGATATTACAATATGACCCTTAATTCCCTAAGAATTTAGACATAAGTCAATTTGTGCTAGTTCTTAAACTTGCACCTAAAAGATCATTCTATGACACATTTATATTTGTTTGACAAACTTGTCAAGGTTTTGAAGAAACATATATTTCTTAATT